GTGTGTGTGTGTGTGTGTGTGTGTGTGTGTGCGTTTTTTAATTCCCATAAATATTTTAGCTGTAAAGTCATTTGTAATGTCACGAAACTTTCACGCAGGAGGAAATGCATCATCCATAATCCTTCTGTGGATTATTCACTTCGGATTGAAATAGTAAAAGTCGGATTGAAGTTTAATATATGGAATATTCGCTTCATCATAGTAAATTACAGTCAGTGAAAAACGGCTTCTATAAAGCGCAAAAGCTTGTTTGATAAAAACAACACTAATAATATGTAATTCTTCTGTGACGTTCACAGTGACTTGTTTTCTGTTTTAAAACCCCTTAAAGAGCAGTAATGAAAAATTCATATTATTTGGCCCAGGTTGAGAAATTAGGTTATTAATGAGCATGAACTTACTACACCCAGGATTAAGGTCTATGTTATTATGTAATGTTCTTTGACGTGCACTTTGTTCTTGAATAACCTATAAATACTATAAGTTTCTACGTTTGTTTTTTGAATTTTTATTGAAATCCCTTCATATTAATAATGCTGCTGTGATCAGTCCCCCTTCATGTCACCTTACATCTCCTCACTGCTGCCTTGTCTCACGCATCATCTAACTGTGCGTGAGATTTAAATTGAGTGTATTTTGATTTGTATTTACTTGTTTATTTAATTTGTTGTATTTATAGTTTGTAAAGAGTGTATGAGAGATGGGCAGCGGCTGGTCTTCATTCATCAGCCTTTAAATCCGGTGACACTATCGCTGAGACAAACCGGCTGCTATCGATCTTTTTTACTTAGTGGTCAAACAACAAATAGCCTCGCAGGTGAGGTGCACGGGACACTAAAAAAATAACAAGAGGCTCCCGTGTCCAGCGGCTCAACAACAAACCAGCCTGTAATAACATGACTGCTATCTGATGTACAAATCAGCTGGAAAACAGAGTCTCCGTAACGGGAGAAAAAGTGGAGACAAGATGCGACTGTCCCAGTAAAGAAAAAAAAAGTTGTGCATTTGCCCGTGCCCGGGTCGGCTGCAGGGTTTGGAGTTAACGGTCATGTGGAGCCGCGCGCAGAGACGTAGCTTTGCGCAAGGAGCCGCGCGCTCGGAGCGCATGGAGAAGTGTGGAAATAAAACGCGTACTTGCCTGATCTGTGCCGGGGCTTGATCCGGGTGCAAAAAGCTGCTCCTCCGCTGCTCATCGCCGCCTCTGCTGCGGCTTCTCCTCCTTTCAACGTCCCGCTGTCTGTCCACTTTCTCCCCTTTTTCCCTCGCCGATCCCCAGCTTTCTATTAGAGCCTCTGTACCCTGCTCCCTATTCGCTGCCCCTCTCACTCTCCACTCTCATCTCTTCTCCCGCGGAGCCCCCTTTTCCCAATCTGTGGAGTTAAATCTTAATGATACACTTACGGAGGAAGAAGGGGGAAAAATTCTTTGTCCGATTTAATCTTATTGGTTTCACCTTTTCAAAGAGCCGGAGACATGGCCGGGGAGTTTTCAGTGGAGTGTCCGAGACAGGGACGGGAGAGAGAGCTCTCATGTTGAATACTTAAAAAACAACCCATCCCTCCGATGCGTTTCCAAAGGGGGCACTTGCATATTTGCGCTCCATTGTATCTGCCAATATCTCTGTGTGCTTAAAGACCTGTATACAGACACTTTGATTATTTATATTCAAAAGCTATTTCATGTATTTTAAATGCTTATTCTATTATTACAACACAGTGCATTACAATGTTTTGGTAATTATTGAACAACAACATTTTCGCCTTGATGTCCCATGTAAATCAAGCGTAATCAAAAAGAGCAGTGCACTTTTGAGACAGTTTTTCTTTTTCCTGTAATTCAGCCCATATCTATTGCTGGGGTTTTTTTCAAGTTTTTTCTTGGTTATCTTGGTTATACGCCCTCAACATCAAAAGATTGCACTTTTGCACAAAAAGTCCAAATAAGGACACGATGGGCCTTTACGCAAAATGTTTAGCTCGTTTTAATTTCCTAAGATCAACTTTTAAATTAAAAAAAATCATGTTTGATGACTTGTGCATGCATTAACACGAGGCTGTAATTGTACAACGTACGCTAGATGGCAGCGCGATCCAGACATTTCTGAGTTGGAGAGGCAGTCAGCCTGCAGAAGCCCTGGTACAAAAACGCCGGAATCCCCCCATGCAAATTCCCAGCAACTTCACATGATTTTGAATTACTGTCATTATTAAGACATAATGTGACACCAGCGCAGTGATTGTGGAGACTACAGGACCTCGGTAATTATTGAATATTGCTTATTGCTCCGTCTATTTATAGAGATTTCCGGCCGCTGGCACGGCATCCCGTTCGTATAACACGCTCTTTCATGCATCAGTCTTCCCATTGACATTTTTCCTCCCTTTATAAGCTCCTTTAAACTAAATTGTAAGTTTTAATCAGCGAGACTGTGCCGATTACAGACAAGGATTTACCGCAATGCGCATGCCAAAGACAAAACAACGTGTGAAAATATAAATCCGCTTCAAACCAATAATGACACCCGTTAATTCTATAATAAAGATACTGGACTCAGACAACCCATTTTTGAAACTTTGGGGGGATTTCTGAGCCAGGGTCCTTTCGCCGCTGCGCACAGTTTTTTTTTTTTTTGGTTTATTTGTCGTGCGTAAAAACCTTTGTCCCCCCCCTTTTGCCTTTACCCCGCTTTTTCAGCTATTCTATCCAGGGTTTCTTCCTCTTTTTGGTGACAATAGACGGCCCATACTAATCAGGTTTCAAAGTAAATAGCAGCGCGGGGCGAGCTCAATGTAAATTGTGCCTGTCAGAGCCCCTCAGCCCCTCCAGTCGTACATGGCAACACTACAAAAAATATCCATCCTCGGCTGCGAGTCGGTGCAACACTGAGTCTGGAAACCTTGGATTTACCCAAACCAGAAGCCTGAATCGTCCATCGGGGTCGATGTGCCTCCACTTGGACTCATCACTGTGAGTGTTATTGCATCAACTGTTCATTTTTTTAAGGAATCTCCGCGCGCACTCTATCGTATATTTCAAGAAATCGACTCCTTGGAAAATCTACAGATTCGAGCTGCGACTGGGAACAAGTGGGATTCGGAGGACTGCACATTTTCAGACTTTTTCAGAAAGAAATAATATTCTCTTAAGATTTCAACGCGAGACCCAATGACTTAGGTGGATGGACATTTTTTGCAGTGAATGAACAGAGGGGGACTAACCAATAGAGAGACAGAGAGGGCTTGGCTATAACCTTAGCCTCCCATTTTCTCTCTCTCCCTGTCCCCCCCTCTCCTCCTCTCCTCCTCCTCTATGCGGGGCTCTGGCCAGTCAGTCGCCTTTGATTATCAGTCTCCAGCAGCCCCTCTCTTGGCTCCTTGACATGAGCACCATATAAGGCGCAGCGATCTCCATAGAAACGTGTCAGTTTCAATAGTAGTGTCAAAGTTCACTATATACAGACATTCGCGCAGATCCCCCGTTTCGGAAACATTGCTCTGCTGGTCCTCCCGTTTAAGCGCATTCATTTTTTGGGTCTCTCCTTCTTCTTGCATATTCTATTAGTTGTTGCTGTTTTTCCTCTTCTTCTGCTTCTTGATTTTTTCCAAATCTTTTTTCTCCTCTTCGTATCTGCGTTCCTCCTGCCGGAGAGAGGCGAAACTATACATGGGCACTTCATTCGGCGACGCGGTCTCCTCTCGCTGCTGGGCGAGATGATGAGGTTTATTTAAAGAATATAGATGTAAAAAATCCTGCTCTTCAGTTTTTTCCTCCCCTCCCGTGCGGTGAAGACGGGAGCGTAAAGGAGCCAAAGGAAGAAAAGAGAAAGGAATTTATCTCCGCAGCACTTTGGATCGCGTCTTTCCAGCAAAAGGTTTTTTACTCGCTCCTGCGTCCATGTGAATCGCTCCTGCCTTTTCCTTTGTGGCTATTTTGTATCAAACTGCAATTTGCTACGTCTGGACTCTGGTTTTCCTACAAGATTAGGGATTCCTGAATGGCTGGCTGCAATTTACCTTGGAACTGGCCTCCCGATACTTGCATATCCTGATCGGGTGCCTATTCAATCGCCCTCCTGTATTTTGAATGTATTGATCGCGTTGTGCTCGCCTTCTTTACCCCATATGAGATTGCGTGCTCCGATTTGACTTTGCACTGCCCCGTCTTTCTGAGATCTATTTTTGTTCCTATCCTCTTCGCTTCATAAACACCGGCGATCATTTCGCTTTATAGCACTTTCCGGGGCCGAGATATGGCAATGGTAGTTAGCGTCTGGCGAGATCCGCAGGAAGACGTGGCCGGAGGACCTCCGAGCGGCCCCAACCCAGCAGCGCAGCCGGCGAGGGAGCAGCAGCAGGCGGCGTCGGCGGCGCCGCACACTCCGCAGACCCCCAGCCAGCCGGGACCCCCGTCCACGCCGGGGACCGCCGGGGACAAGGGGAGTCAAAATTCTGGACAGAGTCAGCAGCATATTGAATGTGTGGTTTGCGGAGACAAATCGAGCGGCAAACACTATGGCCAGTTCACCTGCGAGGGATGCAAAAGTTTCTTCAAGAGGAGTGTACGGAGGAACTTAACATACTCATGTCGTGCCAATAGGAACTGTCCCATTGACCAGCACCACCGAAATCAGTGCCAATACTGCCGGCTGAAGAAGTGTTTAAAAGTGGGAATGCGCCGGGAAGGTGAATATATATATATATTACTACATATTTTTAAACCCATTCATGATTACGCATCCTAGCAGCAGACGTACAGGGCTGCCATGTTGCATTAAGGTCACAGGCTATATGGCTGGGCATACTGCAGTCTCCATCCATGTTTTTGAGGGATGTTTGCATGAATGGTGAGTCTCTGTGTGGTTGTGTGTGAGAGGAGGGTAAAAGGCCAGCGCAGCCACAGCAGTTATGCTCGTGAATGCGGGTCGCCCGAACAAAGCGGCTCGTCTAGTTGACCCTTTTATTTTGTTTTTCTTGCAGACTAAACGCTGCCATTATCAAACACGGGCATTACGCGCATAACAGGCCTGTTTTACGCATAGGTTTTAGAGCAGAAGAGGTGTTGTGTGTAAGAGTGTGTGTGAGTGTGTGTGTGTGAGTGTGTGTGTAAGGCTAATAGTCCCTTTTAGAAGTATGTACAGCTAACGTATTTATAATAGTACAGTGGGGTTTGTGATCTGTGTGTGTGAATGTAAAATGAACACACTCCAAACCCCACGTCTGTCTCCAGCTCCCTGTGCTGACTAGACAGCCCAGACACTGAATAATGCCGCTGAAGTTGTTCATGGCTAATTGTTTTGCCTGGTGTATTACAGGCCGTGGAACAACTTTCCTTCCTACGTTAAGTGTTTGATTCCAATTTATGCAAACATCCCTCATTTTAAATCCACTATTTGTGGCACACGCTGCAAGCCCACGTATAACGCACCCTGACTTACATTAATATTTAATTTTAATACCAAACAATGGCTGAAATCCTTTTATTCCCAGCTGATCCTTTGATGTGGCTAAAATGTACAAATGTGGCTGCATTCGACTGTAATTATCAATCATATTTATAATATGTTTGACCACGATAGATAATTATTCAAATTAACAAAAACCAAGAGAAATATAGAGCTAAAGTAATAGAAGTAGGCTACTGAATACAATATGCTCCCGTGCCTTGAAATGTTGATAATAATAATTTTGGCAATTTTACTTTAGGGCAGCAGAAAGTGTGTGTGTTTCCGTGTAAAAGTGATTGTGTTTTCATTTTTTTGCTCCCAGCCCATGTAGCCTGTGTTCCTAAATACAAATGCAGTCTGTGTGTAGATTGAGGGACACATCACATCTGTTTTGATGAGATATTTACGTTGTCGATAACATAATCTGGAATAATATAGTCATGCACAGCACACACTAGTCGATATGTTTTGAGAAGCGTGTTGAATTTAGATTTCTGTGCATGCCGTTTCACTGAGGAGAAGTACACAAGATGTAGCCTGCAGGACGCTTGTAACACTTATGAACAATGTTTATCAGTCCTGGATGCACATTTCCTCTTTTTCTCTTTCTTTTTGTTAGCGGTTCAGCGAGGACGAATGCCTCCAACCCAGCCCAACCCAGGCCAGTACGCACTGACGAACGGGGACCCTCTGAATGGCCATTGCTATCTGTCCGGATACATCTCGTTATTGCTGCGGGCCGAGCCTTACCCGACGTCCCGGTACGGGAGCCAGTGCATGCAGCCCAACAATATCATGGGCATCGAGAACATCTGTGAGCTGGCGGCTCGCTTGCTCTTCAGCGCCGTGGAGTGGGCGAGAAACATCCCTTTCTTTCCCGACCTGCAGATCACCGACCAGGTGTCCCTTCTCAGGCTGACGTGGAGCGAGTTGTTTGTGCTTAACGCGGCCCAGTGCTCCATGCCTCTGCATGTGGCCCCTCTGCTCGCCGCGGCTGGCCTCCACGCCTCCCCGATGTCCGCGGACCGCGTCGTGGCTTTCATGGATCACATCCGGATCTTCCAGGAGCAAGTGGAGAAGCTTAAGACGCTGCACGTAGACTCGGCAGAGTACAGCTGCCTCAAGGCCATCGTGCTTTTCACATCAGGTGGGTGTCCAACATGTCACATAGGAACATGTCTATAATCAAATGAGGCCTAGTTACACTCAGGTTTACTGGGAGCGAGGAGCGGGACGCAGCACTGTGGCATCAGGGATGTGGCTGTCAAAGACACGCTGGTCACAAATCTGACTTTACGAGATGTTTGTGTTGCCGATGGAATAGCTATTTTGTCAACAGCTTGCTACATATCCACTTACATGCATTCCCATGTCAGTTGTAGCCGCAGCATAAGACGTGTAAACAAATCCAGATTGAGTGAGCGCGTCAAGTTTTTAAGTGTAACTATCACTTCAGTGCTTTTTAAAATAGGTGACAACTGACAGTCTCATACATGTAAATATTTTATAATTACTGAAATAAAGTTTTTGGACTCGTCGAAGCTCAGAGCAAGAATGTAGGTTCGCGTCCATAAATTTTGGAACAGGTGTCAAATAATTGTGCGTAAAGATGAAATAGTCCATCACTGGGTGATATATGACAGCTGATGCGTTTATGAGTGTTGTCGCGTGCTTTTATCCTTGTTTTGCGTGCACAAACACATGTCTTAGGGGGGCAGGAAATAATCCTTAGCAGACTGAGATCAAAAAGGCTGATGGAACTTGAATCATATGTCAGTGCATCGCTTCTGCAGGACGCAGAGTAACGCTGCTGTAGCTTATAGATGGTTTGTAGATTCGTCTTCGGTGACCTATTAATGTTCTCTGTAAGTGAGGATTGTTCCTCTTTACACACACGCTCTCAAAAGTCACCAGCAGTAATTTTCAAAAGTAACATACATTGTTGATAGCATAATTGATGAAAAGGTCCTAAAGGTCCTCATTTACTCTCGGTGCGTAACTTAGATGCTATTTTGGAGATGGTTCTGTACACTTGGTGCCATTAGGCCTGTTATGTGAGGGGAGTCCTGTGATGATGGGGAGGAAAAGGAAAAGTCCAAATTTACTCACTCACAGGCCCCAAACTACTTGAGAACTTATCTCGAAGTTTATACCTCGTCGTCTCGTATTTGGCCCATTACAAAATTTTGTAACATGGTTGAACATAATCTATAATTGGACACGTTCATGATAAAATATGAAGTTTTAATGTAGTTTTCAGATTTGGATTTTTAATCAAATAATTCCCACTTTCAAGATCCCTTGCGTCAAAACTCAATCTTACATTGAAGGTTGTTACACTTGTATCCAGGATATTTCAATTATTATTATTTTCTCCTTATAGTCACAAGAATCT